CAGAGTCTCTTCTGACATCCATTTTGGTCTTCTCTTCCTCTTCTGTCTTTGCAATGACCATTTGCATTCTTCCTGGGTGTACCCTTGATATCCTCCCACAACTCATCTGGTCTTTGCTCATTGGTGTTCAAGACCTCAAGACTGTTCCCGAGATGGTTCTGAAATTCAAGTGGGTTAGACTCGAAGTCATATTTAGGTTCCCGTGGATTTGGTTTTATTTTCCTGAGCTTCAGCTTGAAGTTGCATGTGAGTAGTTGGTGGTCTGTACCACAGTCAGCTCCTGGCCTATGAAATATGTCTTTTGTTTTCTTGACTGCTGCTTCCATGAATGTTAGTTGTAGGTCCAAGTAAAATGTAATCCTTGGCAACTTCAGTCTTTTCTCCATTTATTGTGACGTTGCCTATTGGTCTAGTTGTCAAGATTTTTCCCCCTGTGTGTTGAGGTGTAATCTATACTGAAGACTGTAGTCTTTGGTCTTTTTCAGTAAATGCTTCATGTCTACTAATAAAAATGGACATTTATTTGGTACTTATTGTATACCATACATATAGGCTCTCTGGTGGCCACATAGGTAGGGAGATGTGCTGCCAATGCAAAGACTGGTGGGTTGAATCTACCAACAGCTCCACAAGAGAAAGATGAGCAGCCTCCGCCCTATAAATGTGATTTATAGCCTCTGAAATCCCACAAGACGTTTTGCTATGAATTGGCTCCAATTCAACAGCCATGAGTTGTTTTTTTAAAAACATCATATACCAAAGGGAGTTTTGGTGGCCTAGCTCATATGGAGTTGCACTGCTAGTTCAAAGGCTGCACCCTTCTGGCAGTTCAAATCCACCAGAGACTCCATGGGAGAAAATGGGCAATTAATAGCTTCAGAAATGTGCTGAAGTTCCAACTCAGAGCAACAATTTGACTATTATATTCCAGGCTCATGGCTCATTTAACAATTACAACAATTCTTTAACAAAGGATTTTTTGTTAATATTTAAGACTATAAATGTTGAATGGTTATTTATTGTTTTTTTTAAAACTAATATTGCTTTATAGATTTTTAAAATTTCAAAAAGCATCTCAATACCCAAGTTCAATGAGTTAACTTTTCTCCAACTCCTCCAAAATAACCATAGTTAAATTTATGATGCAAAACTTTAAAATAAAAAAAAGTTTTTGAGACAAAACTCTTAATAGCACGATTTTGGAATTGAACTTGTGAGTTAAATAGATAAGATTGGACTATTGAGTTGGTCACCATTTTGTCCTAAATTTTCTAAACAAATCATTTTGGTTATGAGTAAAACAAGTGTATTTTGAATCTGTAAGAATATTAAATCAAGGGAGCCCTGGTGATCGAGTGGCAAAAAGCTGCACTGCAATCCCAGAGGTACATGGTTCACATTCACCAGATGCTCTGCTGGAGAAGGGGTGGGGTGGGCAATCTCCCCCGTACCAGTCAGATCCAATTTGACAGTACACATGCACAAAAAAAAAAAAAGAATATTCAACCGCTACACTTCACTACCATCCTGCAGAAATATTCATAAAGTGAAACTCTCAAAACGGTAAAATGCTACGATAACCACGACAATGAGCTCAAACATCCATGAATATGGTTTCATTCCGTTATGAATAAGATCACCACTATTTGCAGCTAATTCAGTGGCAGTTAACAAGAACTCATCACTGGAAACTTTTATGGGGCTAAGTAGGATAATGAAACCACAAAAACAATTCTAACCTTTGTAATTTTGAGAGCTTCAAGGAAATAGGGAACTTCAAATGTATCCCTTCTATTAAAAAAAAAAAAAAGGCAAACTCATTGCTGTTGAGTCAGAACTGACTCAGAGCTGGCCTTCCAGAGGGTAAATTGTGTGGGAGATAGTCGGTCTCTCTCCCATAGAGGTGCTGGTAGATTCAAACCACCAGACAGTCTCTTTGAGTTAGTAGCACAATTACCTTATTTCTACTCAGTGTTGAGCTGGGCTAGATCCTCTGTTCATCCTGGATCAGCCAGGATGATGAATTGTTCTAATACTGTCATCTCTTCATTCTGCCTAACGTTAGTCTTTTTCCTCGTCTTGTGTTTTAGCCCCTTGAGTAATAGTACTTGAGATATTATTGCTGAGATGGTCATTTCAGGGTTGTGAACTTCTGCACTGGCTCAGCTTCAGTGGATCAAGAACTGTGGACTCTGACTCAGCATATTGGGCCCTTCACTGTCAGGAGCTCCTACTCTAGTAGGAAAATACTCTCTGCTTATATATACAAATGTTCATTGTCTTATCTGCTGATCCTGTTTGCTCTGCAGGTTTCAAAGCCAGTTGATTCAAATCTGACCTCACCAGACTTTAGATTGTTAAAAGGCCACTTCAGCACCATTTCTACCTTAAGGTTACAGATTTT